GAATGTCTAGCAGGGTGAAGGAATAAAGTTATCCACTGGGAGTGGTGACATGCCTTAATACTGGGTACTCAGTAAGAGGGAGGGAGGGTCAAGAATTCAAGGCCATTCTTAGCTACAGAGTAAGTTCAGGATCAGCTGGGGCCATATAAATTCAATCCTGTCAAAGGGAAGGAAGAAAGTTGTCATTCCAATTTGAATCATCAGAATGGATGATGCTATTTATTTGACTGGGTATAGGGACAAATTTGGGGAGAAAGATGATAAATTCTAGCTGAGGATTTCCTTTATAGTGTATCTGTGTATGTGCACATGTGGCATGAAGGTTTGCAAGAGTCTCTCTACCATGTGGGTCCCAGGATTAAACTCACGCCATCAGGCTTGGCAGTAAAGCCTCGTCCTGCTAAGCCATCTTGCCAGCCAAAAAGCCCTGAACTCCTGCCTCTGGGTGTGAGATTATAGGCATGCGCCACTACACCCGGCCCAATTCAGGAGTCAGAGCAGAGACATGGATAGAGGTTTGACCTCTTGCACAGCATCTGTGTTGCAGGTGGTTGGGTCCTGTGGATGATCTGCTGAAGTGATTGGGTGGTTGAGCTGACCTGGTTCTCCCTGTGTTGCTGCAGCAAGGAACACACTGGCTTGAGCTCTCCGAGATGACAGATCAGCCGGACTATGACTTGGAGACCTTTGTGAACAAAGCAGAATCTGCTGTGGCACAGGGGGCCAAGCATTTGTCTGCCCTGCGAGGTGGGTGCGGTGGATGGTGGCAGCCTGTCCACTCCTGGATGGTGCAAACAGTGGCAGCTTTGCCTTGAGTTGGGGGAAGGTGGCTCTGCAAGTCTGAGTAACCCTTTGTGTACCATCTCCCCTTCCTTACAGACGTCATCAAGTCCCTGCGCCTGGCCAGGCAGCTGGAAGAGCAGGCCAGCAAACAAATAAACAGCAAGAAACACCAAGGGTGACTACAAATAAAGATCTGTTGGTATCACAGCAGCATCTTCACCTCCCCACTGCACTTTGGGCACTTCCTGGCTTTGGTTAGGGTCTAAGCTGGACAGGTTTTGGTAAATGCCAAGTGTGGGGCATCAGGCCTAGGAATGCTCTGGAAGGGATGCGCTTTCCTCTTCCTTAGAGGGGTTAG